CATATGAATATCAATTATGAGAGGAGGGGCCCAGGCCATGAGGATCATGGCCGTAATCGCAACTCAAGGGGGCTGCCACGCCCCCAGTTTTGGCAGCGGCCTCCTCCGCTCGGCTTGCGGGCCAAATTGAAGTGGCTGAACAGACGTCTAGACCAAGTACGCGATGCTATTTGGCGGTGGTCGTAACAAAGCTTTTAAGCCAAAATGTTTGCCCATTTGCATAGTAACAAAGGCCCGAAAGTGTCGGCGAATTTGAGTGCAGATAGTGCGGACAGCGAACAGATAACTGATTCAAATGATTTTACAGCGAGGCTCTGGGAAACACTTGGGTTTTTTGTAGATGGAAAATTCTACTCTGAAGCAAAAAAAATATGCGGAATACGTATACAATTTGCAGATGTACGAATTGTACGTATATAACTTTAAACTATATAAGTTTTGTAACTAAATATTTGTCTGGTGGTCCTTCGAGATAACATAGCATGACACATTCCCTTACTTTCATGTTATAAGCCTTCGATTTAAATAACCTTCTTTGGGCCCATCTCCATTGACTTGATTGCAGATATCAAACGTGAAACCTCTTGGGTCATTTCGACACTTGACGACAACGCCCTTCGCAGGACCTGCTCCTTCAGATCCCTTAACCGGCCACGCCCTTTGCCCAATGCCCCCTTTCACAGTCCTGCTTATTTACAACTTGACATTTCACTTGCGATTCGCGGGGCACTTTTATGCGCTCCAATTGCATTTTATGACAGACAAAACTGACCTACTTAAGGCTCTCTCCTACGCACACACACACACACACACACAGAGACAGACACACCAGGGACACAGCTGCCACGCCCATTTCGTCCTTACTGGCGTTCTGTTTCTCTCTCCAGCGCATTATAAATTTAATGGGCTTGACCTTTTTTCCCTCGATGCTCGACCGCAATTCCAATAGATTGGCAAACTGAAATCTGAGTCCAGCGGAAATCGACATAAAATTTAACTAAAATGTCCTTAAGTAGCTCAAGTGCTTAAGGGGGGGCCAAATGGGTGGGGTGAGTGGTAAGTAAAGGAGCCACAAGTGGGAGTAGAGTAAATTTGAAACTTTTCTATGGCTGAACAAGATGCGCTTTAAATGGCTGGCAACTCTTTTATCTCGCTTTGTTCGCCGGCCAGGGTTGTCGCATTTCACGGTGGATGCACAGCGGCCATGGCCACGCCCCCAGCCGCCTTCGCCATTGTCAATATCCTGGCAGCCATTTCCTGCTTTGTTTTGCTGCAAAGGTCGAACACTTTTTGCCGCCACTGTTGTCCAGTCATGGGTAAAAATTTTTGTGACTGAAACTCTCAAGTAACTTGGCTCAAAGTGTGCTTTCTACTTTTTTTTTTCACTTTTAGCCGCCCACCGCTGGCATTGAATAAGGCGTCCCCAACTAGAAGCAAAAACATTGAAAATTGTTTTCTTTGCCTTTCTTTTTTGCCACTTTTCCCAGGACTGTCTGTATTTGCTTTTATTTTTGTTAAATTCTCCTTGGCTGTCATCTTTTTCTTCCGATGATGCTGCTGCTGCTGCACTTGAGGAACTTTTTGTTATTTCAATGCCTGGGCCACTTTTTTGTCGTAAGCCCTCTGTTTCTATCTGGGCGGATTGTATTGAAATGGGAGTCCCGAGATGCGCTTGAATGATTCTTGGTTCGTGCAAATATTTTATTGACTATTATTCTGCCTGCTCTCGATTTCCGTTCCGTTCCGTTCGGATCGGTCGTCCTTGTCCTTATTGTTCAGTGTGCGGATCCTTCAGGGTCTCCGTCTATTTTCCTCTCAAGGGTTTATTTTGGCTGTGTTTTTCCCCGATACACCGTACACCATACATGCGTGCATGTTTTTGTTGCGCAATTCCGCACTGCCGGATAAATATGAAGAAAAGCCGAGGAAAAGCTCAGAATGGCATTTATATTCTCTTAGAGCTGAGTTTGCTTGTGCAAACGTAGCAGGAAACTCAATAGGAAGGGCGCTGGAAATTGCCAAATTATGAGGAAATTTATGGCTGAATTTAAATTATTTGCGAGGCAGCATTTTAAAGTCGGATCACTCGAGAGCTTTGCCATGCTGTTCGCTGGTACTTCTCTCGTGTTTCGCCAATTCAAACAGTATGTTTAACCTTTTAAATTAACGAAATTGCCGCTCATTCAAAGCGTTTCAAATGTTTTGCACATGCCTGGTTCCCTTCGTTTTTCCTCCACTCGTAGCCCCAATGAATGGCGGCAATTATAACATTTAGCACGCATTTTTGTTCGACCAACGCCACAGCTCATTTATCATCATGACGGCATGTCTATTTGTACACAGTAAAAATGGAAGTATTTGTGCCAGACCCATACTTACTGTAAAACATGTATTTAGCCAGCGGAATATTAAAGCGGCACTCTTGGAAAAACTAGGAATTTGTAAGCCCATGTCCTCTTGACTAAATTTGGATTTATTAGAGAACACTTTATACGAATGCTTTTTATACAAATACTTATATACTTGTATATAAATAAAAGCAAAAAATTTTCCATGTGTACACACTGTTTTTTCTATTAGTTCTCGTAGAAATGTCGGAAAATTTTTCAAATATTGAACGTCGTCTCTTTCTATTTTAATTGGCGGCCTCAAACGGCGCGAAACTAATGAAAAAATCATCATCAAAGAACATGGAAAAAAGGCAATTATTGGATACATCGAATGGGGGTGGAGTTCTGGAAAACATGGCGTTTTAAAGTCATTGCTACTAATTTTATGAGACTTTCCTGTTGGCACTTTTCCTTTTTGGCCCGCTTCCTTTTTCCTTTTGTGCTTCCGCTTCCTTTGCTCGCCAAATGATTATTGCAAGCCGTAAAAGGAGAAATGAAAATGAAACACAAATGGACGCAGCTGAAATGAAACCATCCTTGAAATCTATTGTCTGTCTGGCCGTCCAGACAATTGCAGAATAAACAAACACGTAAACTGCCGAAAAAACAGCTAAGAGAAAAACAAAATCGGGGCAACAAATGATGCCTGGCGGGGGTTGGAAATATCAGCCAAGTGGCAGGACCCTTAACATAATTGAAAAACATCAAATCGAAATGAAAATCAAAGTACATGGCTGTCAGATAGCAGCCAATCGAATGCAGCCCAACTGACATCTTCGAAATTTAAATACACTTTTAAGCGCCCAAGTAGCATAAAAATCAGCATAAATATTTGTTGTTATTCTCGCCATAATGACGGTGTCGTATTCCCCCCGTTTTTATCCCTCTTTACATGGGACGACTGCAAATGAAATGAAAACATGCAAAACAATTAAAAACAAACAACAAAATGACCAGCATCAACAATGGCAATGGCAACCCTGGCAGCTTGTTATTGGAAATCCACCAAGGGGTTAAGGTGGCTTCAGTGGGCGCACTTGAGAGGGGGCGGGCAGGGATTAAAACAACAAGACCATGTCGAACACCTAGCCAAAGGTATACAACCCATCAACATCAACATCAGCCGCTGGCAACAACAATGCACTGCCACAGCAACACACAACGCACAACACACAGCACACAATACACACAACTCCATTTGCCGCGTTGCAATGGTAAAATAAATAAATATTCATGTTGGAAATTTACTTGTAAACACGCAAATTGTAAAGCAGCCGCCGCCAATGAAGGACTTTTGGGAAATGCGAGTATCAGGGGTGGATTCGCAGTCGATTGCTTTGTTTTCCCACTTTTCAAGCGCAGGTCAAAGTCGGGGTCCTAAACGTGGCGGTTTCGAGAGAGGTTCGCAAATGAAACAGTTTCGAATATTTATGAAAACATAATTGGCAACTGCAAGCGGGCTGTGGGTATGTAAAACACTTGCAAAGTATCACTAATTATTGATTGAAAAGAAGAGCTTTAAATAGCTAATGCCTTGTAATGGTCTATAAAAGCAAGTATATAATTTAAATAAAATACCAATCGCCTTAATAAAGCGAGCTTACGTACATATAAATGCATATTGCACCACCTTATACGCCAAAAACGTGGACATTAATGGCCGGCACACTATGTTGCGCTATATTTTCATGGCCCTTGGGGGGAGAAGCCAGAAACCCACACAACCCGCTGAAAATAAAAATGAAACTGGACTCCGAACATCCCGAACTGCTACGTGGGCTATAAACAAGGACACGTACGCAATTAATTGCAGAATTATTACAAATTTCATTACATGCTAAAATATGCAAATTGTTTGACGTTGCCCCGCCTGCAGCTCCTCTCCCATCTGCCTCTCGCTCCCTCCGTTTTTGTCTCTTTCTGCCTGCGCCATGCAATTAAATGCATTTGCATACATAATAAATAAATAATGCAGACGCAAAACTGCAGCATTAACTTTGCCGCTGATGTGCGAAAAATGAAAAGAGAGCGAAATTCTTTTAATTATCATTTTAATGTGTTTATGAACATTTAGAATAGTAAGCGAAAATTGCTCCCTAAATTGCAGCGGGGTGGCTTAAAGTGCTGCGGGGGCGGAGGGGGTTGGTGGGACAGCTGCATTCGCTTGCACTGAAATGCCATAAAATGGCAACAATTTGCACGCAGCTGTCGCTGCGAGGGGTGTTCAAGTGGTTCGCATTGCGTTCGAGAGTGGGTTTTATTCGCTCTATTCCTCCTTCCTCCCAGTCGATGGAAATACTACATTTCACCTGAAAAAAAGCTCACAAAAAATGTATTTACCAGCTGCAAAGAGGGCACAAGTATTCCAGAAATCGCGTTCAGTTAATTGCAAGAAATTCACATCTTTAGTTTCGCACGCTTTCAGAGATATTAAATGAACTATGCAAAGGACGCGTTTAAAAAAAGACAAAACAATTTGACAGTCAAATCGAAAAGAGTATTTTTTCAGTGCCCTGTCGCTCACTCAGCTGCAAATTGTTTGCAGTCTGTCTACATAAATGTTGCATGTCTACAAAATATTTGGGTTAAAACATTTGCACAGAGCCGGAAAAAAGAGTATATATTTGTATTTGCATGATTGCACAGGACGGGAAGATCCGAAGGGGCAAAGGGTTACATGGGGCATGGGATTCGGGTGGATACAGAGGATGGTGCATCAAGTGCGGCCACTGGTGGTGGTCAATGAGTAGCTGGAGTTGGAGTTGGATTGCGGAGTGGATACGTTGGAATGGTTTGACTTCTTCTCGGTAACCGTGTAGGTGCTGTTCTTGCCGAATCGAATCGCCATCCTGCTTGCCGAATCAAACTCCTCCTCCTCCGGCAGATTGATCCACACTGGTCGATGGGTGAATTCCTCGGAGCGGGAAGCCTTCTCCGCGAACCAGTGGATCCGTTCCACATCCTCGCCCCACATTGTCCTCTCAACTTCACTTTCAATCGAGCCCATCTTGCGATTAGCCTTATCCATCACTGCCCGACGATGAGTGCGTCTACGTTTTGGCGAAAGCTGCGCCCTCGGCTCTGGGGGAGGTGGTGGTGGAATGGGATGCAGTACACCTGCACATTCGGGGCCACCACGCTGGCTCCCCGGGCAAGATAATCGCGACCGTTCACCCTCATCCTCGTCCAAGCGGCCGAACTCGCAGTACAGCTCGTCCAGCTTTCGCTGCAGACAGTTGCGCAGATTGTTCTGCCGGCAGAGCATCTCCTCCAGCTCCCGAATCCGTTGACCCTGCGTCTTAATGACCTTTGTGAGCTCACGCCGCACCTGCTGCTCACACTCGCAGCCGCACGGCGGTTGGGTGAAGTACTCCGTGTGGGATTTCGCGCAGCATTCCGGCTGACAGCAGGGTCCGTCCTGTGGCAGGCCGGAAGGCTTTGAGCACTGCTCACACTGGCAGGGACACTCGTCCGAGGGATGGTGACCGCGGCCCAGGAGCAGGACATCCGTGCAGCCTGGGAGGCAGTTGTGGCGCCGCTGCCTGCGGTGACGGAAGGTAGGAGATAATGGAAGCCAAGACCACGATTATACTGACCTGACGCTCGGATCCTGCTCCTGTTCCGCATCCTGCAGCGCCTGCATGTCCTCTTCCAGCTGCTCATCCTCTTGCGTGGGAGTGCGTAGAACGGTGACCTCGGTGCCATCGATGTCGGGAAAGTTCCGGCCGGTGTCCTTAAACTCCGATTCCTGCACAAAGATCTCCGTGTCCGATTCCTTGGGCTCTAGCTTCTTGGTTATCTTCAATTGGGAATCGCCTTCTTCCGCGGGATGTGGCTTCAAGTCCACGCAGGACTGCCCCTTGCCGCAATACGTGGGCAACGAAGCACCGTTCAGGAGGAGAACATTAACCGATGGACGTTCCGGACCCGGTTGACCATCATCCGGACACTTGCATGCTTCACTATTCTCCTTTTCCTGGCGGAGCTTCTCCTTTTCGCGCTCCAGATTTCGCAGCTGCTTCCCGATTTTCTTGGCCCGCTTCACAAAGTCGGGAATGTGCTCCACGCAGACGCAGCACTGGTTCTGGATGCTCTCCAGGCAGCAGTTCTTGGCCGCCATGCTGGACTGCCAGATCCTGGCCTCCTCCTCCGTCTTGGGATACGCATACGCATCGTTGCCCTGCGCATCCTTCGCCGGCGGCTCCTCGCCACAGATGACACACCTTCGCCCAGACATGAAATGGCTTTTTTCTCCTATTTTCAACAAATTAAATTTACTTTCTCTGGGACTAACGGATTTAAAACATCAGAATTTGAAAAGGACTAATATTTTGGCAGGGTTGATGGCTTAAGCAAAGGGAAGCATATTTCCGAAATTAAATCAATTGCTGGAGCATTAATCAATAATAATTGCTTCAGCGGCTTTGATTATGGAACAGTTTTGTTTCACTAAAACATGCATCCACTTTAATAGCTTTAAAAGAAGTGAAAATATATCGAAAAGTATATGTGGTGCTATAAATTGTTGTGTTGCAACGCTCGTTTTTTTCCGATCCTCCTTTTTGCAGAGATAGCGAAATAGATCGCGTTGCAATCCATCTTGCTTGCGTAATTGCTTTTCCTTTGTTTTTTGTGCATGCTTTTTTCGCTTTGAATGCTTTTGAGCAACTATAACAACGCACCTTGCGGTTTTTGCGGCAAGTGAATTGGGCTGTGAAAGCCGAACGCGTTGCATGCGGATACGGATTGGAATGAGGTGGGGCGGTTATGAGGTGGGAATGATTTCGAAACCGCTGTGGCACAGACCCACTCCCGACTGCACTTCACGGCTGGTCCCTGGTCTCTGGGGCCCCAGAAAAAAAGAGAGAATGCGCTCTGGTATGCCCCATAAAGTGGGGCAGCACGGCGATTACTATGCTGCAAAACGCACTAAAGTCAATTGATTGCGGTGGAAAATGCATGGGATATGTGAAAAATCCGGATCAGTAATTACAGCAAAATCTGTAAATTAAATTGTAGCAAGTTGTCGCAAGCGAGTGGAACGTGCATCTCAAATTGGTTAGTTTTTCTATGTAAAGGTTCTCACTCTTAGATGGCAATTTGCATTTGACAGGCAGAATTTTTAAAAGAGCTAATTACCTAAAAAAGCGCAGTCAGTGAAGTGGCTTAACAATTTGTATCTTTAATAGCCTTTGGCTTGGCACAACCAATGCAACATTTTTAAAAATAATAATAAAACCACCGCGACCACTGGCGGTCAATTCCCATTAAATTCCCCCAGGCATTAGGCCCTAAAAAACAGCTAAACTGCCAGAAAGTCGCGCCAACGCCCACTAAATAATGGAGGGGGGAAAAAAGTGCGTTTCGATTCAGTCAAGCCCAGAAATCTGCGCAAAACCGCAAAACAATAGCTACAGTGAGCGGAAAATCTGTGTCAACCAGCTACCTTGCAACAAAAACGACCAGCGGCCAGTGGACCACAAAAATCACGTTATTTCAATTTGAATGCCAAACAATCGCCGGGCGGGCACTACTATCAGCAATGGGTCTATCTCTGGCCTGGTTTGGCATTCTTCAAATGCCTTTTTGTGGGTTAACGCCCACGGCCAGATATTTGAATAATCTGCTGCCGTAATATCGCCAATTTATCACTGGACCATTGGGCTCCAGCCCAAAACCCGGAGCTCCGTTCGCCAACCCACCAGCTGGACGCATAAAACGAAAGCAAATGTGGGCAGTTCACATTTCACTTTCGTTTCGTTTCGAATTTGGATTCAGATTCGGATTCGGAAGGGAAGAAAAGCGACACTGACGCCTCTGCTCTATCGCATTTTCCAATTTATCAATGGCCACACGGAGGCGCGCACGCCGTTAATGAAGAATTATGTTCATAATTTCCAAATTTATTGTCGCACATCTTCGCCTCGAGCTGACTGAGGATCGCATCGGATCGGTTGGGATCCGCTGATGATGGGGGCTGTCCGACACTTAAGTGTGTCAAAATGTTGTTGCTGCCATGTGGCATGCTGGCTCTGGCGAAGATCCCCCGGCGGAACCATCATCGTGTCAGTTGCGGAGACACATTTCAAATATTTATGATGTTTGCTGGGTCTGGCCGAACAACACACAATCCAAACACTCCAATCCGCGGCACTTCAGGGCCATCGATAACTTCATGTTCATGGTTCACAGTTCAAGAAGTCATTTCAAGTTTCTTGTTACAGTTTCCAGTGAAAGTTTTCCCCTGGTCCTCCAACCATTTTTCGACTATTAATTTTCACTTAGTCAGCGTTCTTGGGAACGTATTCGATTTCCACTCAATCCTTTAAATCGAAACAGATGCCAAAACATTTTCATTTTGCCATTGGCAACGGTTTTTAAGTGGATTTAATTTGTTCAGAGTTTCCCCGCATCACTTTTTGCTGCTGTTCTCCGCTATTTTTAGGCTCTCAATTATTTATTTTTTTTGGTAGCTCTCTATCTAATTTAGTGTTCAGCTCGAATGATTTTTTTGGGGGCCGGCTCTAGTATATAGATTTAAGTGCTCATGAGAGAGCGGAAAATTTATGTGACAGCTTATTAAATTTATATGTTTGCTCTTCATTACAGATTATACCGGCAGAGTGATTGGATACACATGTGTTAGCGGGTAAGTGCTCGGATGAATGGGCTTCGGCTGTATCGATGCGATACTACATGTCGGATTAAAGAGCTTCGAAACGGGGCTTAGGTTAATTCTTCATGATCTCACACATGTGTCGGGCTGTTAGTCTATTTTCGGGGGATTTAAGGGCTATTTGGCGGGCAAAGATCTGGCAATGTTGGGAAATATCTGGCTAAGGCGATCAATACCTCATAGTAGCTGTGCGGTTTTTCAAACTTATTACTCTCAAGAATGTATGTTTGGTGCAGGCAATAACTGTAGGAAAATGTAGATTTTAAAGTGCACCAAAACCTATCCCTATAATTAAGACATAAGCCCCTTTTACTGGCCCTAGCATTTGTTTGAGTGCTCTAAAACCAACTCTTAAGAGCCACTAAACGTGCCTTGGCTCGCACATAAACACATCGTTAACCCCATTCAATCCGCACTCAAGTCCACTGAGCCTCCACCCACCTGTCAACCGGATTGTTGGCACCTTCAGCACACCAGATAACTCAACTTGGCTCAGCACGGCTCAACTTGGTGCAATCGCTGAATGCCAGCCAGCCCAAAACTGCAGCAGACTTGATGTGAAAATTCACACTATCCTCGCCGGACACAAAAAAATGCAGAGCCGCATACGTCCCCAAAAATCGTCGGCGCTCTGGCACTTCATTAAATAGACGCCGTGGCGGCGCTTTTCCCCACAAAAACAGCAAAAAAAAAGCAAAAAAATAACAAAATGAAGAAAAATCCAAATGGAAAAAATTCGTTGACGACCACACCCCCCACATTACTTGGGGGCTCAGCTCGGGAAACTTGCTTATTTTTCACACATGCGCGTCAACAAAAAATGAAAAGCAACAACGGGAGAGACAGAAATTTAAGCAACAAATTCGTGGCTTTTTTGCTTTACTCACATTGTTTATGATGACAATTTGTCGTTGTTGTTGTCGTCGACATGTGGCCATAAAGTTGTCGGTAAATAACAAACAGGCCTTTCCTCCCATCCAACGTTTTCCTTTCAAAATACCGAAACTGCCGACGACAACTTTTGGAGTATCCTTTGTAGTCTGTCGAGAGGATTCCGTCGCTGGAAGTCCTACGGCTTAAAGCCACTCAGTCCCTAAAAGTATCTCATGGATTGCAACCACAAATTAAGCACACATACCATACAAATGTGTGTAAGTGGAAAACAAAACGAGTGATATTTTAAGTACCTGCTATAAAACTTTAATTACTTGCATACGCTTCACTTGATGGATTTTAAAGAAATATTTCTTAATTTTGCAAAGAAATCAATTTAGTAGCATCTAAACAAATTTTGCAAAATTAAAGCTGATTACCCGACATCATCATAAAAATAATCAAATATTTAACTGAGCAAAAATCATTATTCCTCATTTGCTTTGTACAACATTTGTTTTCGGCTGAGCTCACCTTAGACGTAATCCAAACCTGCACTTGACTAAGTGGAATGAAATATAGCGGCGACCTTGAGGCGCTCGATTTCAGGTGGAAATAATTCCATAATTTGGCATGCTGATTACTGCCAGCCAAAAGCTGACAACGCAATTTGTTTTTTCCGAAATTCTTAACGTGTAATTGTCATGTTGTCGGCCAAACAATGGACTCACAGAAAAACAAACAAACGCGGCAAAAACCAACTTGGGGCCGGGCCCCACCCTAAAAAGCAAAAAGACGTCTATTGTTTGACTTTTTCCAACGGCTGCGGTCGCATAAATAACCAGAAATTAGCTGGCAAATAAGTCAAGTCGCATGTAAACTCGTTTTGGCATTGAAACACCTGCAAAGCGATTCTTTGCATATTCCAAGTGCTAAATCACCTGCCCGCCAGTCCGGAGGTAAAAGTTGAACTGGCTAATTTAAATTTATATACTGCAGATCTAAGCCGCGATGCGGCCCCTGATTTATGCCCACCAGATTGTCGCTGGCGATAGGGGAAATGATATACTATATCTACTATATATACTATAAGGAAATGCGCATCGATGGGAATCGTATGCAAATGCCAACCGCGGATAATGATGATGAGCCGCAGATAGAGATTGGGATGCTGGCATTGATGTAAGCAGAAGCCCTCGACAGGTGTAACAGCTCCCAAGAGATCTAACCAAGCCACTAGTTGATCGGATTTGTCATTGGTTCTCTATCTGCATCACTTGGTTATTTTTTGTAAGCTTGCTGCGATCGAAGGCAAACCGATGATGACGTATTGTGGGTCTTGTGACAAAGGGCGCTCCATTTTGGATTAGCTTGTGGGCTTGGTGGAGCTGAACTACCTTGATATTGAACTCGGTTCGTTGCGGCGGAATCAATCAACCGAGCTGCGAGGTAATTGGAGCTACAATACAGCAGGGGCTAAATCACTTATAAAAAAGAAATTCATCTTCATGAAATCATAAAACACAGGGGAAATGGAAAAAAAGGGAAAACAAAAACGGACACCGACCGACACAGAGGTATAAAAACCGGCAGCCAGTACCCCCAATAAATTGAAGAGGAAAACATCCAGCTGCGAGAGATAGTTTACTTGCGGTAATCACATCAAAACCAATGCCCATCACAAGCAGTTGAAAAACTGTTGGAAATTTCTGTTGTACGAGTACCGCTGACAAGTGGACCGGGCTCGAAAGGTTTTCTTTCGGCCTCAGTGGCCTCTGCCCATTTTTTGCTCG